AGAATACATCTAAACAATGTTTACAAAAGTACAAGGTTCTAGTGAATCTAAAGATTTCTTCTATAAGGTTAACACCATGCAATTTAAAATTTAACTTTTACTCTTTACTGTTTCCTCCCCAACCATATGTTGGTGTTGATCTTATTAACGTTTGAAAATCTTTATCCGCCTGGAAAAGAGGTATCATGAACATTGAAAGCGACATAATTATACAATCTGAACCAGATACATACTTCTTTCATACATGCACAGTTATAATAAGTCATACTGGCCCCACTGAAGTCTACATTATTCTCAAGAAAACCATTAAGGCAGCCATTAACTGTGTTGTGAGTATCACATACTTTATAAATAGTATACACACCCTACAGAGAGACCATAACGCACAATATATTAGCATAAACAAATAGCAACTTCAGCAACAGAGGAAACGCATTAAAACATTTAGATTAGAACCCTAAAAATGAAAATATGTAACATTTTCTTTTTTGGCATTAACCCACAAAAAATAGAAACACTGACTATAAATAAGTATATAATGCCGAATAAATTTACCAGAACTTACTAGCCTTAGGTCTTAACTTCGTTCCTGGTTCACACAGTGGCCCCCGCTTTCCAGGTGGTCTGGGACGTTTGGGGCCATTTTTACATTGCAATTAGTGCATGAAGGGCATATGCCACCCCAAGTACAAGCTTGTACACATTATCCTCAGCCTGAAATGTGTCCACTCTGTGTAGTCAGTAGAGACATCCCCTGAGGAATCCTCTTTGCCAGTGCAATAGGCAGAGGTATTTGATTGGAGAGAAGCTGGCAGTCAAAGAACTTCTCCCCAGATCAGCTTTAACTATGTCACTCTGCTGGTTCCATCAGCAAGGTTTCAAACTGAGTACAGAACTGTCACCAAAAGCACGCCCTGGCTATCGGCGCCCGACCTGCCTCGAGGACAGGCAAATCCCATCTGCCCCTGTACAAATGGCCCTTTCTCTCAACAGAAAGCCAGGTCTGCTTGTGTGATGCCAACGATCACTGCAACCCACTGCTTTCCAGTTATATTATAATTCTCCATATCTGAGAGGAATACTTCAATGAAAGACAAAGACGTAAACAACAACACCACCTTTGACGAGGATTCCCTTAGTGTCTCTACAATAACATTAAATTTTTTTCCAGGTGTCTTAGAGAAAGGTAATCTGTATTCAACACATATGCCTTCTTTCTTTGCTTCCTTAGTGAATTCTGCCGTACCTTCCTCTGAGTACAAACCTTCAGTGTAAATAATCCCCACCCAGCGCCAGTCAAAATATTTCATAAGCTGCACCAGACCGAGGATTTGGAAGTAGTCACTTGGCACAGTTCTGAAGAATGTGGGATATAGTCTTTTGTCACTCAAACAAGCACAGGTTGAAAGATGGCTAACCTTGAAAGAAAAAAAAAACACAAAATATAATAAATATATATATATTTATTAAACAACGTAAATATAAATTAACAGCTAGACGAGGAAATTCATAAAGTTTGCATTTATTTCTCAACAATTTCTTGTCACCTGTGGAATATATAGTGGACTCAGGATGATGTTTATGTCTTCACTAACTCCAGAAGATGAATGGCCTAACAGAGCCTGGATCTGATTACTGCAGCCCTTTGAGTCCTCTCCATTTACAGCTTCTACAGCTGCTCGTATGAGGTTTTCACTGCCACAGCCATTGTACAGCCTATAGCCCAGACTCAATCCAGGGAGGAGCTTAGGATCTCTGTTGATCTCGTCTACAGTAAAAATCACTGTCCGGGCAAACTTCAATTCTCTGTCATTCAACCTGCATACACAGTGTTAAGTGTTGACATATTACTGACAAACAAGTTAGATTAGGACAGAGATATATATACATATATACATACATATACATATACATATACATAAAAACATTTACATATTTTAAGCACAGCCACTTACATTTTGCAGTATGCAGATGGAAATGCCTGGTAGCCATTATCTATCAGTGTGCGTGAACTACTTATAGAGAAAACTCCCCCTATAATAAGATCACCTTCTTTTGAAAATTCCACAAACCCTGTCTGCCCAATAATTTTGCATGTTTGGTTTTCTGAGTTAGTTCTTGCCAGCAGAGTAAATAAGATAATAGTGATCCAACCCATCATGAGCCACCCTCCCTGACACTGTAGCAACTCTGACAAGGTTACTGAAATTTATAGCTTTTTACTATGAGGGAAACATCCCCAGCCAATCAGAGATTATTTTGTTTTTCATACATCACTGTACTTTAAAGAAACTGATCATGCTGATTGGTCTAATTTACGTTTTGGTACTTTCAGGTAGTGAAGTATTAAAAACATTGTGGGGAGATTCTGTACTGTATAGTATTTTGCACAGTACAAATGTTTGGATATTATATAAGATGTTACATTACAATTACATTACAATATGTTTCAATACTTCAATGTACTGAGTCAATTTATATTTTCTACCCATCTGAGACCTGGCCATAAAATCATACAAAAGATAGTATTTTTTTGTAGTAAGTATTCATTATGAATAACAAAACTTAACTTAACTCATATCTGAGGTAAAGTGATATATTTAGTTTAATTTCAATTTCACTCCTGAAAAAAAAAATGGACTGGACATTTATATACAGCTTATTCAAAAGTGCTAAATATTTGCCTCTCGTTCACCCATTTACACACACTCACAGACTAATGGAGTTCAGTTAGGGACCAGTTTCTTCTTCAAGCACAATGGGAAGAAGAGGAGCCAGGGACTGAACCACTAACTCTTCAACCAATGGATTACTTGAGTCACAGCAGCCCCTAATTCATATTTAGTATGTGAATGTAGCAAACTGGTATCTGTCTTCTTACATATCTTGCATTTGTTTTATTTAACTCACAAGACCTACCTATTCCTACCTGGAGGGCCCCTTTGCATGTAAACCAATTGTCATTGCCACACAGTCACACCTGACACCCTTGTGCCCCCACTACAATCCTCCCTCCAGTTTCCTCCATCTATTGGTCTAATAATATGTAGATATGCAGATCAGCTGTATTCACTGGCTCCCACAAATAACCTGTTTATGTAAAAAAATGCTATTTATACAATGGCTTGGCTGAATACTTGATGGTTCATATTTACTTCATATGTGCATCTGTATTGCCCTCTATGCCCAGCTAATCAAATTTTTAAATGCAATATTTACTCAATAGTCAGTAAATCCATTGCTTTCCATCTTGCATGTGTCCCATTTTTGTGTGTTGGTAGGTAGTTCTTATCATGCTGATGCTGTAAGTGTTTTTATTTTTATATATTTTCACTTTTCTATCAAGACTATGGACACAGCCGTTACTCTGATTTAATAAGAACCAGATGGCTCGTAGCTAATTGAGCAATTGGGAAGACCAAAACTTTGCATCACAGAATTTATGTACAATTCTGGTGATTTCACTGTAGTTTTGTTTATATTTTATTTTTAATTTGCATGACTGGACCTTTTTATAGGTTTATAGTGGCTTCTTCTACTGTCTAGGGTGCATAAAAATACAGAAATACAAAAACATTTTAAAGTCATCATGTATATGTCATGCCCTTCAACAAGGAGAAGAGTAACAGGAGAAGGATGAAGAAACAACACAAAGATATTGCCTTCGATCATCTGTTTGGAATTACATTTTCACCAATACATACAAAACCCATACATTTGTTCACATATGCACACACTCACACTCAGGACCCCAGTTAACACAAGAATATTTTGAACATGTTCTAAATAACTTAAATTATATTTTTAACTATACTAAAACGTGACATTTAAATAATATTTTAACTAAGTTATCAAATTACATTAAAATGATGAAATGTGTTCTTAAATTGTTAACTTATTTATTTTCACTGCCATGAAATAAACTACGCTCTTACAGTGATAAATAAGCACTTGAACCGTACAGCAAAAATACAGGTGAAACCTTTGCACATACCACAATGTGCAAAAAAATATCATATTTTATGCTCCAACTGAGTTAGCAAGAAACTTTAAACAAATACCAGTGCAAAAATGTCTCTTTAATTCATATAAAACTACAGTTACATAAAGACAATTATTATCAACCTATGTTCATGAGTTTACATTTCTTCATGGACGATAATTACCCTAAACAAGGGGAATAGGGTTAGAGTTAGGGGTTAGCACTGGGGTCTACACTAGCTGTAGATAGTGGCTTTAACGTTTTTACGTTGAAGTAGCAGCTGCCATAGGTTCTCCTATGCAAAAGGGAGGGGTGCGGGGAGGGTATTTAGTTGGTGGGAATCTTCACTGATAGTCCTTTAAAGGACCAGTGTGTAGGATTTAGTAGCATCTAGACTTGAGATTGCAAATTTGCAGATTGCAAGCAACTGAACCCTTTGACTAAATCAAGCAGGAAGGAGAGACTAAGGTGGCTGCGAAACTCGTGTAAAATGCTAAAGGCCCGATTTAGAGCCAGTGTTTGGTTTGTCCATTCTGGGCTACCATAGAGACATGGTGTTTCAACATGGTGGACTTTATAGTAAAATCTGTAAATAAAAACAAAAAATACAACGATTCTTATTTTCAGATGATTATACCCTAATGAAAACATACCTCCTAATATTATATTACATTTTTGCCAGTAGACTCTAAATGTTACACACTGGACCTTTAAGTAATAACTGAAAATCACCACTTACTTACCTCAAGAGCCTGCTTAGCATACAGTATTTTGCAAATGTCACAGTCATTGGGCATGGTTTAACCAATAATAGCTTAATTATTATGGATATGTCTTCTCTAGTTAGTACATTTCTAAACCCATTAACCTTGGATCAGTTCAAAATGAAAATTCACAGGTGTAGCAGTGTAGAGGATTAGCAGAAATCCTTTCCCCAACAAAATGAGCCTCAGAAACTCCTCAGCCTCAGAAAAGAACAGTTGCAATGCTGCAATACCAATTGCCTACTCGTCATTGCAAAGATGAAATAAACCATAAATTGTGAGGACTATGTTTAAATAACTTTGAATATAATATTTCTCAAATATCTTAAGTTATGTCATGTTACTTCTTTTATTTTCCCATCAGGTGCTGTTTTGTATTCTTCTCTGGTTTCAGTAAAATAATGTAGCACTTTGGAGCAAACAGGCAGAACAACAAGCCAAAGCTGGACGCCAAAATGGCAAATGACTCCACTGCATCTGCATAATTTCCAGGTGAGCTGATATAAGCAGGGATGAATGCTAGCCACACAGCAGAGAAGATCAGCATGCTAAAAGTGATGAACTTGGCCTCGTTGAAGTTGCCTGGTAACTTACGGGCCAGAAAAGCCAGGACGAAGGACAGACAGGCCTGTAGACCAATATATCCCAGAACACACCAGAATGCGAGGCTGGAGCCAACACTACATTCCAGTATGATCTTTGAGCGTTCATATTTTGTATTTCGGGATGGAAAAGGAGGAGCATCAATGAGCCAGGCAGCACAGATAACTACCTGAACCAGAGTGCAACTGAAAATAATTAACCTCTGCTGCTTGGGCCCAAGCCACTTCATGATGTTGTCTCCTGGCCTGGTGGCAGTGAAAGCAGCCAACACCACCAGAGTCTTCCCCAGAATGCACGAGATGCAAAGTGAAAATGTAATGCTAAAGGCAGTGTGGCGCAGCATGCAGGACCATGGTGTTGGCTCTCCAATGAACACCAGGGAACACAGGAAACACAGAGTCAGTGCAAAAAGGATGAAGAAGCTGAGTTCAGAGTTATTCACACGGACAATGGCTGTGTTTCTATGATAGAAAAAGACTGCAAAGACAGTCATAGTGAGGCAGGCACCCACCACAGAGGTCACTGTCAGGGCTATACCCAAGGAATCATAAGCCAAGAACTCCACCTTCTTAGGGATGCAGCCTGTTCTGTCTTTGTTTGACCAGAAGTCCTCAGGACAAAATTTGCACTCTATTGAGTCTAAAGGGAAAAGGGTTAAAAAAAGAGTAGCTCATTTAAAATATTAGAAATATAAAAATAAATATTCAATTATTACCTGATTGTAATAGAATATTTTGAATTTTTGCAATATGTATTGCTTGGTTTCAAGCTCACTTGTCTGATTGCTAATTTTGCCACTGTCACATGGTACACAGTCAAAACAGCAAACAGGCTCCCTATGACGAACAGCCTTCCGGGACCCTGGAGGACAGCTGGCACTGCATACAGACACTGGAACCTAGGGAGAGATAATGGCTTTCAGGTCTTTAGTGTGAAATGAGAGTGCTGAAATCACTAGTCAATTACTTGATTAGTCCAATGTCTGACAGCAAAAACACCAATATTTGCTGGTCCCATCTCCTCAAATGTGAGGATGTGCTTTTCTCTTTGAACATTATTGTTATTGAATATCTTTGCATTTTTTTACTGCTGAAAACAAAACAGTACGAGCAGCTTGCCTCACTCTGATGCCCTGCCCAAATAATCCTGTCTTCCTGGATCACCACCTCCTTTCCAGCAGGCTTGGTTCCATCAAACAACCCCACGTTGACAAACTCAATGTTTCCGCCTGTGCCTCTCTGCCAGTTGATGATATCATAATAAGGTATGGAGTCACCCTTCAGGTCAAAGTTCACCTCCTCCCCGGCAATTTCAAATTTCACTTCCTGAAGGTAGTACTGGAGCTTGAAAACCAATAGACAATATGAAATACTCTTTCAAACAAGATTTTTAGTTTGATACTGTAACAGTAGGAATGCTGGATTATACCTGCCAGGGGTGTATGTTGTTGCTTTGAGCACATGAGTTGTTTTGGAAAGGCCCACTGCCTGGTTGACATAGAAGAAGGTTGTGGAGGGAATGAGCAATTGCATGTACAGCCTTATAGACATTGTATGCTACTCTAGGGTTAGATGTATTCATGTAGGCCGAATGCTGCTCCAACAGGGACTCCTGCCCTGTGCAGGGAGGCAACTTGGAGTCAGAGGACAAAGAAGGACTGCAACCATACAGAGCCTGCCACAGCTCCTTAACCAAAACATTATTTGGATACATTTGAGGGTTTACTGACTGGAGGTAGTCACTGAGTCCGGATATATAACCTTTCCTGATACCAAACCCAATGGTGCCCCCCATGTAGGGGTAATACTCGCTTCCTGCAAAGACAGATGCTGTAACCCAGGCCTCACTGGCCACCCATTGGATTCCAGTGATGTTCTGTTTCATGTAATCTTTCAAGAAAGGTGTCATCTCCCCCTCAGATGAAAACACCACCACAACCTTTGCTACAGAGGTTCGCATCACCTTTACAGAGAACCAGATGTTGGTGGAGGAAGGACGTTTGCAAGGAAAAGAGAAGGAAAAAGAGATCAGGTTAAAAATAAAAACATTAAGACATAATATGAAATAACAAATTTTTAGATGCCCACAGTGTATGTATTATATGGAGAATGTCCATATCTGTTGACACAGAGTGGTATCAAAGCAGACACTGTGGGAAGCAATTTGAGCCAATACCCCTGGGTCCATGGTAGTCTTGCATTGCCTAAATCTCCACAGTTCGTTTTAGTGCTCTGCCAGTGCTAGATCAAGGTCTAGTTCAAACCCTAATCATTCTGGTCTAGGAAAAAAAAATGCTGGCTTGTTTATTGCCACTTGCCCTGGATGCGGCAACTGTGCCATGCAAAATAGTGTTGAAATATAGTTGAATGGGAGAAGATGATAGTTAGCCAGACTAGATCCATGGAGGCATGGATCCAACTTGTGGACACTGAGATATATGGGCTGAAAGCGAGATTGCAACATTTTTCGCCAGGATTATCACATTCTTAGGACAAACTAATATAGAAATTGATATGGGAACAGTACTAACAACTCTCTAATGCTGTAAAACATAGTTGTGTCTGTGTTGCTACCTGCATGATTTCCAGTGCCCTCTGATGACTGTAGAGCAGGGGGATAATTTCTTGGTACGCTATACATACTTTGGTACCCTGTAATTCCCTTAGTAAACCTTCTGCAGCAAAGCGTCCATATTCACGGTCTCCTCGCACCAGCCCCACCCAAGTCCAGTTGAACCGTACCAGCAGCTGAGCAATGGCTTTCACCTGGGTTCAACAGAAACAATTGTCAACACAGTGGTCTTAATACAGACATTTTGAGAGGACATTGATATTATTTATTAATTGTACTGTTACATTGATTTACTTTTTTTTATTTTCCAAAGATGTCTTTTTACAGCTACAGCACTGAGATGTTATTAAACCCTAAATCTGAAGCCAAACTCTCACCTGATAGTCATCACTCGGGATAACTCTGAAGAAGGTAGGAAATCTTTTTCTGTCAGAGAGACAAGCACATGAAGAAAAGTAGCTGATCTGTGTAAAGGAGAAACATGAAAGAGTATACAAAAATAGGTTACAGGGAAAAGGACAAAGTTTTGGGTGTCTGAAAAAGCATTTGATCATGTTAAGTGGCCTTTTTAATTTTAAATTTTGTAATTTATTTAATCTTGGTTGAGGTCATAGATTTTGTAAAATTATTAGATCCTACAATAAAGCTGTAGAAATAGCAAATTTCCAATTAAATCTATCTTAAGACCTATACTACAAAAATTACATTGGAGAGAGCAAATACATACTATCCAAAAGTTACAGGTGTCAGAATAAACATCATTAGACATTTGCAGATGGTTTTTTCATGTACTTAACTAACTTATTAGGTAACAATATCCAACAGATGTATAACAAAAAATCGATTTGTTACTGAGTAATATGAAATCTGACTTAATTAGGAAGACTCAATCTATTTACAAATGACGTGGCTCCCAAAGTATATTCTGGTAAAACATATTCTGGTACTCTTTTAAAAAACATGTTCTGGTACTCTTTTAAAAAACATAATCTGGTACTCTTTTTACATACAAAAAACAAAAACAAAAAACAAATAAACATGTCAACTTTATAACATTTGTCATCAACATGGAGGAAAATTACGAGAATTCAGCAGGAGCCAAATTTAATTTAAAAAAATATATATTTATGGGACAATCCTTGGGTAGCTCTTCGTAACTGGTTTACATGGAGGGATAGAAGGATGGAAAGTGTCAGTTGATTATTGAGTCTCCTTTATATTTGACAATCGGGGAACATGTTGTATTGTATGGCTCCCTCTCTCTCCCCCTTTCCTGTCACTCTTCAGCTATCATTATTAATTAAAGGCAATAATCAGAAAAAGAGGAAACAACCCAATCATATTGCTGAAGTGTCAAGTGATGAAGTTTAAAAGATAGACTCGATAGACATTAACTGTATTACAGGTGAGTAAATGTGTGTTGTTATTGTTGGTTTTATTTTGTTTGGTTTTTGTTTTGTTATGTTTTTTTAAATGCTATAAGTGTATATGCTGCTAAAAAATGTCTCTCAACATGTACAGTATATATGTTTTTAATTTTGTTTTTCATTAACTCTTAGATGAAAAATAGTCTTATGGCTAATTCTAGCATTTCTTTTTTTTTTATTTACCATGTGTATTGATTTGGACTCCCCCTTGTTTAAATAAACTGAACTAAGACAGATTATATAACACGTTAATGTTGTGGGGTGATAACACAGGAATAGTCATCATTACCATCGGTATTCTGAATGGCTGCAGGATTCTTGACAACACCATAGACAGCGTAGAACCAGATTCCCCAATAACAGCAAGGAGCGGAGAGGCACCGCTGCACATGGGAGAGTTATCCTCGCTTAGCCCGTTCAACACAGCCAGAGCAGCCCTCTGACCCGTCAGTGGATATGAACATGAATCAAAGATTTTGTATCCAAGGGTGTAATTGGGCAATAGCTCTGTACTCTGGTTTATCTCCTCCACTGCCAGCCTCATAGTCTGAACCCAGCGGAAAGCCCTGGGATCAAAGCTGTAGCCCCACAGACACATATGCACACACCACACACACATGAACACAGCAAGTAGGCTATGGAGAAAAGGTCAAATCAAAGGCAGAGATTTATTTTGATTTTAAGTTGGTCTAAACTGTATCTTTGCAACTATCTTGTGTTGAATTAACTGAGTGGTTTCCTTTTGCTTTGCCCATATTTACTCATCTTTTTTTTCCTCATTTGTCACCATATGTCTTTGGTAATGCTTTATTTTACAGGTCTGTAATAATAATTTTAAAAAAGCCTTATAATTTATATTTTTTGTTATCTTGAAAGACCCATGTAATTTGGGAAAAATCCTTTCAAATCAAAGAGTTTCACAACATTTGTGTTTGTTCTAAAAAAAATCAGACACCATATGATTTCCAGTCCATATGTATTAAACTCACCCATTGCACTTCACTGGTGGTGGTCTATAGGTGCAGTTGAGGTCTGGCATCTCCTGGTTATAGTGAAGGGGGAAGATCCCCCCAATAACATAGTCACCCCTGGCCACAAAGGCTGGCTGAAAGCTGTTTTGAAGTTTGCACACTTTAGCTGCAGATGGGGTTGGAGAGGTAAAGCTAGAAATTGGATTATGCGTTATAGTGAGGACAGAGACAGAGTAAAGTAAGGGAAATAAGACAAGTAGAGTCATATTGTTTGACATCCCCAAAGAGATAGATAGATAGAGAGAGAGAGAGAGAGAGAGAGAGAGAGCAAGGAATGATGCACATTATATACAGTATGTCACCTGCTTGTTCTTACATCATCAAGACATCAAGACATTGGACATCAGCAGGCCTGCCTAATTTAGTATGTTTACGGTGATAGACTGAAATGATGTAACAGGACATAAATACTGGAGACAGAATGTTTTACACATATTTTTGTAAATTCACTTTCCAGTTTATTAAATTCACAGGACTAATGCAGTTGAATGGGATAAAACCGACTTCCACGAAGGTTATACTGATTTAACTTTTTGGAGGCTGTAGTTTGTGGCGCTGTTAAATTAAACTACATTATAGTGAGGTGTTTAAAATAATGGGTAGGCTATTTGGGTCTAGCAGGTCATCCATTAATGACAGCATCAGCGGTTCAGTCTCCAGCTCATCCTGTCCACATGTTGAAGTTTACTTACTTTTAGCCCCCTTTGCTCCTGATGGTCAGACCACCAACACCTAGCTTGGTAGCTTGCTGCCATCAATGTGTTTGGGTAAAAAGGTGAATCAAGAATGTTAGACAAGTTGTTAAGTGATGCAACCATTTACCTACTATTTATTGGATGTGTTTTACTTAACATACCAGTTTATTAGTTGTTAAAATATTTGGCGAGCAAGTCAGACCAACTAGTCATCGGAAAAGTGGAAAACAAAAACATTGTAATGTACACAAAACTTGCTACCCAGTTTCCTGCTGTTACAATGATAACACAGGTGAACTCCCACAACCCTGTGGAAATTGTCTAATGAGAAAAAGGAAATGCAAAAAAAGGTCACTCTGCACAGTGTTTCAATCTTATGTTTGATGGAACAATTATGCTTTTGTTGTAATATATACAGTTGTCTAGGCATAGGTAACTGCAACCTGAAAGATCTGTTTTAGGCTTTTGATTGGGTGACCATGGGTGCTTTTGCTACATGGCTAATGTAGACAAGGCGTAAGACTTAAGCCATGTGACTTGAAAAAATATTACAGCATAAACAATACATGTAATACATATACAATCACTGTCATAATCTCAAAACAGCCCCCTGTGACAACTTAATTTTCTCATGACGATATTACAAATTTATACTGTATGTAAGTTGAATACTGACAGAAAAATAAATGATATGTCAGTAAGTAAACAATATATTTAAATATATACAGATATTCACCCTACTCCAGGATCACAAGGTGATGTCATCACTACTGGATCTGGGCAGGCCCTCAGTTCTATGTGTGCCCACTAGAGTATATAAATTAGCTATACCCTGAAATATCATAATCATTTGTATGTGGCCAGAAAGGGCAGCTGCTCTCGTATATTCAGCTGTTAAAATATTCACCATCATTGAGCAGGTGATTTACTAAAACCTGGGACCAGCCATGGCAATGCCGGCTGCAAAGCTTCTTGTGTTTCTGTCTCTGATTTGGGGAAAACCTGGCTCAGCTGCTGCTCTAAATGACTGTGTTTTCTTGGGTGAAGAGGAGAAAAACAGTCTGTATGAAGATGGAGATGTAGTTATAGGGGGTTTATTCCCTCTACACTACAGCCCTGTGTCTTCTCTTCCAACATACAAAACTAAACCAACACCTAATATGTATAAATAGTAAGTGATTTGAATAGTAAAATATGATTGTAATTGGCTGAAGTGCTACAAAGTAATTTTAATTTGATTAGATTCGTGTTTAGGGTATTTTAATATATGTATATATTTGTGGTGTATAATGAACTGCTTTTTATTCCTTTACAGTTTCAATTCTCGTGCCTTGCGCTGGATGCAAACCATGACTTTTGCAATTGGAGAGATCAACCAGCGCAGTGACCT